GTGTTTTATTGTTCCATATTTAATATATATGAACTTTATGTAGAGCGAAAGAGAGGAACAGTATTAGAGTTAGTAAAGGCTATATACATTATTATTATTACTATATACAATATGGCATATTATTATTACATATATATATACGAGTACAGATCTATATATATACATATACATATATACTGAAAACTTGCAATTCAATCGAGGCGCAGCAAGTTGCAAGCAATTGCAAGTAAAACACAACCACAACTCGATATCAATTAAAAGCAAACAGCTGCCAGCGGCAAACCAAAACTTTAACAACTTACAAAAACAAAACAAAAAGAGAAACTAAAAACAAACTTCAAAAGCAAATGCAAATTAATTTTAGCTCATAATTTACATACAGCAACAAAAACAAAAAGCGCCTTTTGCAGCATTTTGTCTTGTTTTTATCCTTATTTTATTTCCTATTTCCTTTTTTTAATTTAGCCAAATTATGTTTGGTGTACAAGTCTTCGGTTTGCCGTTTTGTTGTCCTCCAGGATGCGCAACAAAACTTCTGGGTCAACAACTCGGGACACAAACGAATTGTTGGCAAAACAAAAACAAAAACTACAAACAATTGTAGATTTTCTTTTAATATTAAAGAAACCAGACAGAAAAAAAAAAACAAAAGCAACAAAATAAAATAGTAAAATATTACTTTTGTAAATAAATAAACCTTAATTCTTTTATTTTTTGGGCATTTGAATACTCTCTTTTAATTATGCAGAAATAGCCAATCAATAAAGGTATTGCGTTGTAAATGTAGTTAATTGGTAAATGAGAATCTAAGAGCTGGATCAGATGATCGGATATGCAATGAAAATAATATTCGAAATTGAAACCTACGTGGATATGCTCAGATTACACAAATTCTTTTTAAATATTTGCAATGTGACATTGTTGGCAAATGGTCACGGCACATTTAGTACTTTGACGCAGAAAGTTCTCATCGTCCTGCCTTGATTAAGCGAATTTCCGAGCTACTGGATTCTTTAGTGACCCAGCAAAAGATGAATGAAGGGGCTCATTTTACCTATTCTGTTGACTCTCAGCTTGTCATTCTACAGGGGAACTAAAATATGCAAAAAAGTAAAACGTAGTTGCATTGATGGGCTTGAAAGGGGAATTTGTGGGACTCCACCCAAAATTCTAGTGAAACAGTAGCCGAGCAAAAATGGCTACAGAAAAAAACACATGTTGATTTAAAAATACCATTGAAGACATGCTATGAGATAGAGTTAATAAAATGTTTGTCTGCCAATCAAGTTACCTCGGTCCAGCGAGTTCAAAGCGCAATATGCTTTTGAAATCAGAGATGATATCTACGAAGGCAGCTGAAAATCTATATCTTGAAAATTTACGGAACATAGGAATGGTGTTAAGGTAATTAAAAAGAATCCATTGATGAGTTTTTCATTCATATTTATTGATTTCTGTATACGCATGTTCATAATACATAATTGCATATTTTATGACTTATAATAAATATATTCCATAATTGTAAATACATGCATTTAATGTGTGCTTATGTAAGTGTATGTGTGGCTTTGTATGTGTGCTTCAATTGTTTAACATTATATTTGTGAATAGTACGCATATTATGCACGCTTATTTTGCATGTACTCGATATTTGTATGTATTTATGTTTATACTTGTGTGGGTGTGTGTATTTATGTGTATGTGTGTGTACTGTTGTGTATAATAACTTTTCAACACTTAGACGCTAGTGCAAAGGTGCGGCCTGCCAATTCTAAATGTTTAAATGTTTAGCTTACTAATATCGTAATTAGTATTATTAATTATTTTAATGTTATTAATGTTAAATGGTTTGCGACACTTCGAAGGGGATTTGTTTAAATAATGTAAATGCCATTGCTGGTTGCTGTTTGCATTAGTTGAGTTTTTAGATGTTATTATTGCTAGTAATCAATTTCAAATGTTGCCTGTGACATGTCGCACTATTATGCAATAAAATCAGCCTTAGTTATAATAATTGTTACTCGGTCGTACGCATGTCTCCAAGTCGAGGCTCGTTAACAATATTTGCGGCAAGGGCCGGAGTTGCTTGAGAACCTCTTTCAATTTTCATGTTCCATATTCCATATTAGAATCGTAATGGTATATACTTTGCAGTTTTATTTAATTATTGTTTATAATTATTATGTATGTTGCTCTTTTTTTTTACTTTGTAATACTTGCGCAAGTTAAAGTTCTTCTCTAAAAAACAATTATACAAAACGGTGTTAAAAGTAAAAACCTGTAAATTTTACTAGCAAAAATTCACGAGTTTGTAGAATTATATTAAATATGCTTTTTAAAAATGCCTTTAATTGTTAAGTAGTTAATTAGGTAAGTGGTTTACTGTGTGTCTCTCTCTCCGTCTTTCCTCCAATTAGACTCGACTCGACAATTCAGCTAAATGCGCAAATTCAAATTCAATTAGTATTGTTATTATTAATTATTATTGTTATTGTTATTATTTCTGTTTGTCTAAAATGTTTCTCTAAAACTGTGTGTGAGAGTTTCGAATGTTTTGTGCATGCTGCTGAATGGATGGACACTGAAATGCACTTGAAACAATGAACTAGCCCCTAGCTAAACGCTCCATACTTATTCTAAAAGTGAATTGCATTTGTTGTGGATGTATATTCGAGATTTGCTTCGGCTATTTTCCACATCGAATACGACAATTTTCACTTGTGCAGCTCGAAAAGAAACTGAGCCAATTGACAACTGACCATCAGTTTGGCTCAGTTTGTTTTCAATTGCTATTAACTTATATATATATATATATCTACGATTTACATATGTGTATTAAGAATTTTACTTAAATATTGCAAACATGTTTTAAATTCTCAATTCAAGGTTTCAATCCTTTTCTTCCTTTCTTTTGTTTGAGTTTCTTTGCTGCGCCTACGCCGCGTACATAAATTTATATCACACGCAATAAATATATAATTGTTAAAATAATAGAACATTTGTTTTCGTATTTCGAAATTCAGAATCAAAGAAATTAAAAATCGTGCTCGTGCCATGTAGCGTAATTAACTAATTATTATATCCGTTTTTCTTTTTTATCGTTTTCTTTTACGTTTTGAGTTCTCGTTTATGTTTAGGTTTATGTTTTTACATGCATATTTTCGTAATTTAATTATTCATCGATAGCATTTGCATACAAGTTGATTCGAAGCATGCGTGTGCGGGTGTGAGTGTGGGTGGGCATGTGTGTGTGTATGAGTGCAGCTATTCGTTGTGAATGGCAATGACTGTTGCTGTTTTGCTTTGTAATTCTAATTAACGTTTAAACGTTTTTGGCAAATTGTTGATCGATCAATCGATTGATCGATAAGTTATCGATGGCTGCTCTAGTGCAGTCTATGGTGATTGGCCTTGGGCATGGCGCCTACAATGCGCACACGCCCCAAGGTGCCAACTGCGCCAGCGCCAGCGCCACCAGACAGCCGCTGATGCTGCTGCTGTTGTTGCTGCTGTTGCTGCTGGTGCTGTTGCTGTTGTTGCTGCAGCAATTGCAGCTGCTGCTGGTGACGCTGCTGCTGCTGCAGTAGCTGTTGCTGGTGCTGCTGTTGCAGCTGCTGTTGCTGCTGCAGTTGCTGTTGCTGCTGCAGTTGCTGTTGCTGCTGTTGCTGCTGTGGATGATACTGCGGTGCATGCTTGGCATCATTGCAGTCACAGAATTGAGGAGGCGGCGCCAACACCAGATTCTCGGTGCACAGCTGCAGATTGTTGTTGCCCGGCTGCGATACAGCGGTGGCAGCAGCAACAGCCGCAGAGGGCACTGCCACCAACTGGCCGCTGGGCAGCATGCCCACAATGTGCGTGGCCAGCTGCTGCTGTTGCTGCTGCTGTAGCAGATGCTGCTGCTGCGTGGGCTCGCCGTCGCTGTCCGCCTCGAGAGGGGGAGGCAGCTGTACCAAAGATACGGCTGTGGTGCGTGTGGCGCCCCGCTGCATGGCAATGGCCGCCGCCTGCTTGCGCGTCAGGGAGTTGTGCCGCTGGAATGCCTTGGCCGGCGGCGAGGGACTCAATTCGCCATCGTCGTCATCGAGATCGGATCGCTGCTCCAGCTCCGAGTCGTGGCCCTTGTGTAGCTGCTGCTGCTGCTTGGCCACCAGGGCGGCGGTGCTGGCGGCACCAGCGGCCGCTGCTTTGGCTTTGAGTATCTGCTGCAAGTGTTGCTGGTGCGCCAGTTGCTGTTGCTGCTGCTGCAGTATCTGCTGCTGTGTGGCAATCAGCTTTATGTTGGGATTCGCTTGGTGTTGCTGCAGCAGCTGCTGCTGCTGTTGCTGCTGGTGGTGCACATTGGGTATGCGACCGAGCACCTGAGGACTGAGCACGGGCTGATTCGACTTGATTTGAGTGGTGCTGCCTGGCAGCTTGGTGGCAACCATTGCTGCTGGCTTAGCGCCGCTAAGTTGCTGCTGCTGCTGTTGTATAACCGGCGCATGTTGCTGCTGCACCAGCTGCTTAACTGTCAGAGTAGTTGTTGCTGGCGCTGCTGCTGGTGCTGTCGCTGCTGCTGTCATGCTGCTGCTRTTGTTGTTGTGGTTGCTGCTGGCATTGTTGTTCAGATTGGAGCTGCTGGTCTTAGTGGCCGCCTCGTAGGCAGCTGCAGCATGCGCCACATTTGTGCCAGCATTAATGCTGTTGCTGTTGCTATTGGTGTTGCTGTTGCTGTTACTGTTACTGTTGCTGCTGTTGCTGTTGGCGTTGACTGATGATGCTCCAATACTGATGGTCGTCTTGGCCATGGGTTTGACTGGTGGATCCGGTATGGTCTTCGGCTCCTCCACGATAGTCACGCTCGGCTTCTTCTTGATGGTATCCGTGGGCTTGGCAGCGCAAGTGGCGAGCAACTCCTGGTCGCTGCTGACACCCGAGCTGCTGTTGTCGCACTCATCCTCGCCAGCAGCAGGCTGTGGCAGCAATTGTTGCTGCTGGGGCTGCTGCTGCTGCTGCTCCTCTTCCTTCTTGAGRAAGCCATTGGGCGAGGACTTGGAGGTCTTCAGATTGCTCCGAATGCGCTGTATCTCCTCCACGGACAGCGAGTGCGAAATGGAGGCACCTGAGCCAGAGGCAGAGCTGCTGCCGCTGAAGAGAACACATATTAGTAAAAGGATGATGGGAGTAGAGCCACTGGCACTTACCTGCCCTGGCTGTTGCCACTGGTCTCCGGCACGTCGAACAGCGCAATTTTCTCATTGAGCTTCGTGTTGCGGGCCACCAGAATCGAGTTCTCATCCTCGCCGTCCGACTCGCTGCAGCTGTAGTCCGGCTCGGGTATGGGCGGTGCTGGACCAGCAACAGTTGCTGACGCACTTGCAGTGCCATTTGAATGTTGCTGCTGCTGCTGTTGTTGTGCTGCTGCTGGCGGCGGTGGTGGTGCAGGTGGCGATTGTGGTGCAGCCGCTGCTGCTGTCGGCTGCTGCTGCACCTGTGGCGCTGCATAGTGAGAGCCCACTGGAGCAGGAGCCTGTGGACGCAGCTGTGTTGGTGCTGCATACTGACTGACATGTTGCTGCTGTTGTTGCTGCTGCTGTTGCTGCTGTGACTGTGGCTGTGGTTCCTGCTGGGTTTTCTCCTGCGCCTGCCGCAGCTTCCAGGCCATCACGTTGCGCAGCTCCTGCGGCGAGGCGTAGATCTTGGCATTGGCCGATGGATTGAAGCTGCTCTGGACGCCGTCGATGGCCGCAGAGGTGACTGCGTCGTTCTCCGCACGCTTCTTCAGCTTCTGCTGCAGCGATATTGTGCTCTCGTACTCCGAGACACTGCTGCGCGTCTCYACCTTCACCACCTGGCCCACTGGAGGTGGTGGTGGTGGGTGGTTGGGTGGCGGTAGCACGGCACCAGCTGCGCCCGCCGCACCTTTGCTCTCCTTGTCGCCCGTCGTGTTGAGGCGCTGCAGTGAGGCGTGCAACGTGGCCACGTCGTCCTGCGAGTGATGTCCTTTGCCTGCGGCCTGCCAGATGGACGAGGCCGAGCCGTGCAGCTGCGGTCCGTGCAGATCGGGCGTTGAGTGAAAGCGCTTCAGATCCCGACCACTGCCAGCGACCGCCCCGCCCACGGTGGGTGTGGCCACGGGCTTGCCACGCAGTGTGCCGCTGCCGTGCTTGGTTCGCGCCGTCTTCTGGCGCTTCATCTCAGCCACGCTGCCGTAGACCTGTGGGCCTGTGCGCATTGGCGACCCGTTGGCGCCGGGAGGCGTGGCAGCACCACTGTCCGTGCCCGACTGGAAGCGCGAGCTGGTCATCATGGTAGCGTAACGACTGGCACTGCTGGCCCCGCCCTCTCCCTGTTGCCGCTGGAAGAGCTCCTCCAGCTCCGCGGCGGTGATGCGACTCGATGTGGGGCGCGCCTTGATGCTGGCCGTGCGCAGCTGCACCGGCGTGCCCGGATGTGTGGGCGTGGGCGTGGCGATCGACTCAACCGAATTGGACTTGGCATGCGGCACCTGCTCCTCCTGCTCCTTCTCGCCTCCGTTCTCCAGGCCCGCCACCATCGACTTGGCCCTGGCCCTACCCACGCTCAGCGTAGTCTTTGGATCGCGGCGTGGTGGCATCGGCGCCATGCGAACACTGCCTCCGCCGGCCGAGCCGCTGCCGCCGGCATGGCTGCCAGGGCCCATGGACATCTTGCGAGGCAGCGTAGCGCACTGGCGATGTGCGCTCTGCGGCGTGCTGGGTCCGCTGGACAGATGCTGGCTGCCGGCGCGGGCCCCGCTGGGCAAGTACTGGGCGCTGGCCTGCATCTGAAGCGGAAACTGGGGCGAGACGACGGTCATGTTGACCAGGGCGCCGGCGGAGCGTATCATCTCGACGACCTGCTCATGCGAAGCGGCGCTCACATCCTCCCCGTTGATGGTGAGCAGAAAGTCCCCGGGCCGCAGTCCCGCCATGTCGGCCACACCGCCCGGATCCACGTCGTCCAAGTACTGGAGCGCCGGGAAGCGCTCCGACGGACGCAGTTGCATCAGCTGAGAGCTAGCCTTAGCGCCGCGCAAAATGAAGCCGAAGCCACGCTTAGCCCGGTGCAACACAACTGAGCGAGGCGCGTTGTAGGCGCTAGAAATATATTTAAAATTTGTGAAATCAATTTGGGTAGGATTGAGAGTGAGCTTACCTCTTCTTGATTCGTGGTGCTGTGGCGCTGCTGTACTGTCCAATCGAATTGTTGACCATGTCCTCGGGCTGCTGCTGCCCCTGCTGCTGCTGCTGGCAGGAGCCGTTGCTGGTCATGGAGAGCGAGGGCGACTGATGCGGCTGCTGGAGCAGCGTACTGGAGCTGCCGGAGTGGCCGCCCAGGCTGAGCTGTGGGGAGCCCTGGTAGGAGCCTGCCTGCACCTGTTGTGCCTGCAGCACCTGATGTTGCTGCTGCTGTTGGTGTTGGTGTTGCTGGGGGGCCATGCCCGTGCTGGCGGTCATCACGTTGGTGATGTGCTTCTGGCGCAGATTCACCTCCTGGACGCAATCGGCGGGGAAGAAACCCGACTGATTGGTGCCGCGCACATAGCCCTCGAGGAGGCCGCAATCGGTGCTACCCACCACCTCGATCACGTCGCCCGGCTGGAGGCGTATGTGACCCACCGTGTTGCCCGCATAGGGCTCCATGCACACCACCGTGGTGCTGGGATGTCCAATGGAGCAGGCGGCCGAGTCCGAGTTGGTGCCCACGCCCGACGAGTCGCTGATGATGTCGCTGGTGTCTCCCAGTGACTTATCTGTTTGGAATGCGAAAGTGGAGACGCAAGTTAGTCGATGCTTCAGTGGGGCAAGGGACCTGGAGCTAGCTCAGCAGAGACAGAGACAACATCGAGGCGAGGATGGCGATTGCATGCGTATGCTATGACTAGTGGCTGGGCTTCAAGAAAGAGCGACAGAGAGAGATAGAGAGAAAGAGACAGCACGAGAAAGCGTTGCGTGGATGGTTGAAAGAGTTGCAAATCACAAAGAACTGGGACTCACAGTTAAGAGATGAGTACTGATTGGACGTTGAACAATGATATAATATACATACATATTTAAGAATTAAGAAGTAGTTCTTGAGAGAGGTATGAAATATCATCTTGTTTGGGTGAGTATTTGGTAGATATAAAGTGAATTCTGATATTTGAATTGCAATTTAGTTACTTTGGGCAAGTAGAAAAGCGCAGGTCGACTTGGTCATACCCTAGTTATTTTATTTGCGATTTTTAAAATGTGCTATGGATTTATATGTGCATTCGTATAGGAAAACACTTGGCGCTTTTGCCGATTTACCAAACGTCTTGTTGAACAACTTCTGTGTATTAAAATTCTGAATTGATAATCGATTATTTGGAAATAAACTAAAATCGGCGTGAGCTTTATCTGCAATTTTGCAAATCTCAATTCTTTAGCTTTTTTAGGTCTTCTCGATGCGTTCCCACTTACAGGCGGACGAACAGGCAGTGGGATATCACTAAATCGACCCAGCTCATCTTTACAAGCAAGAAATAGATACTTTATGGGGTCATCCTATGCCTGTTTCAAACATTTTGACTGAACAATTTCAATTTAGTAGGTTCAGGGTATCAAAATAACTTAAAGGTGATTAAAATATATTATGTTCAGAGCTTCTTTTACACAGTTACATCTCAAACGGTAGCGACTGTAACCCATCTGGTTGAGGCTGCGTATAGCTCTGTAAGTCTGTTAGAAAATCATATTCGTAGAGTAGAAATATGATTTGCGTGATTCGCTTTAGCTAATGAAACGCTGAAACGATGACAACTTATCGATAACTGAGCCAGCATGACATTGCAATCGGTCTGAAGAAGTGCTTATATAATAAATAAATATAATAATTTGTGGATTGAGTATATAGACATATTCAATAATTTGAGAGACATGCACTCGTGGTATTCGGCTTATATATGGAAAGTTAACTAAGTCTTAATCGGGCTAGTTCTAAGAGACATGCTTAAGATATGGCAATTGTTATACTTAACCTCTGGCGACTTTATATACATAGATATAGTGAATATGTATAGTATAATGAAATCAAAACATATGATCGTCGATTTAAATGTATGGAATTTAAAAACTTATAAACTTAAAGCGAACATAGGTCAAAGGCGAAATCAAAGTAAATTTCATTACCTGTCACAATGCTGATGTCGTCTTCGTGCGAGCGATGTCCCGACGAGCCCTCGGATAGACTCGAGCTGGCCGAGCTGTAGGCGCCCAGCATGTGCTCCGATGGACAGGGCGAGGGCGGGCCGTGCAGCTGCAGATGCGGCTGCTGGTGCTGGTGCTGGTGGTGCAAGTGCTGCTGCACGTGCTGATGGCTGTGGGGCTGTTGGTGGTTCGGATGGGTCAGATGGTGGTGTGGCGGCTGCAGCTGCTGCAGCTCACGTCGCGTAAGCGTGCCCATCGCCCCATTGCCGCCATTCACACACACCGGCTGCTGGCCACCCGGCCCCGGCACAGCGCCTGCACCACCGAGCCCACCGGCAGCCGCTGCCAGCAGCGCAGCGCCAGCGGCCCCATTGGCGCTCAGCCAACCGATGCCCGAACGGCGCTTCGGATTGTAGCGTGGCGGTCCCCGGAAGGGTACTGCGGTTGTGGATTAAGGATAGTTTGCGATTTATACGTGTGTATTTGTAGGTGTATGTTGTTGTTGTAATAATTGTTGTTGTTATTGTAGTTGTTGGTGTGGGAGGAGTTTTGTCAGTCAGCTGAACTTGTGTGTAGCGGCTTGGAGATTGGCTTAAATTAGGGAGGGGGTCTATTGCATATTGCCGTTAGCTATGGTTACGTATTTTTGTCACATTATGTGGCCGCGTTTCATCCGGATTGCGGTTTATTTATGGCTTATGAGGGCAAAGCCACTCCAGAGCTGAACAAGCCTTCCTCAGACAATAACAACCGTTAGCTAGCCTAGCGGTAAAGTTCTAGAAGACTGCCACTGCTCACCTCTAGCGCTCTACTCAATCTTCAATTTGGGGTTTAGTTCACAAATCAAAATACGTAGTAGTGAGATGAGAAATGATAAGGATATTCCTAGACCACTTCCTAGGGGCTCTAACACTTACATCAAAGGTACACCAAAGGCTCTGTTACTTACTGTACTTACTGCTCGATGTATATACACACACGCATATATAGTAGCATAAATATATGTCTGTATATTTATACATGTAACTGACCATATTATAAAGAAAAAGGGAACATTCTAAGAATGTTGGCAAAATGAAAACTGATTTAAATGCAATGAGAATAATTCGATTACTATGTAGATAAATCGATAACAATAATTAAGTAACGTTTAACAAAACAGCCAAGAGAGACACAAACAGAGAAACAGAGAGACATACATATATAGATAGAGAAGAATGATATGAGAGAGTCAAACGAGTACGAGCAAAAATTGAAACGAATTACAGTTACGATTAAGTACTATTTGTATATGTAATGAGAGAGAAAAACGAGTCAAGCAAAGGCAAGGCAAATACATATACAAATACATATGTATGTATATATGTTATATATAGAGTTGTATAAGTAGCATTTTATATTACATTGAGATATGATGGATGTATGTATGAAGTATGATTTAGATTTAGATTTGAGAAGACCTAAATGATGGAATGATTGATTTATATATGTATATATGATTTTCGATATGATCTGTTTGGGTGTCTTTGAGAACTGAATATTGGGATGGCGGGACTAATAGTGATTAAAACAGAGTATTCAATAAACTAAGTACTGATTGGAATCGATCTAGCTATAGATTGAGTAGAGGATTAAGTTGAGCAAAATCAAAAGAATTGAAACCAAATTGTGACAAAAATGGGATTAACTGAGGGTTGAACGGGACGAGAGATGAGTAAAAGGTACGATATGGCAATGTCAATGTCGAGTACGAGTCAATGGGATTGGTCGATGCGTATCGGAAACGTTAAGATCAATCACTCTATAGTCAGTCAATCATGCAAATATATTGGATTRCCACTATAACTGCGAATTCACAGATTGATTGATCAACGTTTCCCACTTTGTGTGAGTGCGAATGAATTGTTGTATGACTGTGGAAGGCTCTCTTGCACTCACCTATATCCTCCGACTTGTAGTTCTCAATGATCTCAGCTAGTTCCAAGTTGCCAGCGATGACCGCAACCTAAGGTAGACAGAGTTTTATTAGCCGACCGTGAAACCAGAAGCAAAAGCATTCAATTCGTATAGACTACAAGCAAACTACGTGCAGAAGTACCAGCTATAACTACGAGTAACTTATATTACGAGTATATTACGTTACATTACGTTACGTTACGTTGTTTGTAGCCTAAAAGTGTTTTATGTTATTGAATTTGGATTGGGTTTGTTTTAAATACCTGATAGGGAGTTTGGTTGGCAAAGTTCTGGGCACCGCGTTGTGCGCCGCGAAAGAGAAGCATTCTAGCACAAGCCTCTTGGTTGTTAACAGCGCAAACATGCAACGGGCTGTTACCGGACGCATTGCGTCCATCCATGTCAGCACCGTAGAACAACAAGTGCTCCAAGTGCTGCACTAGGCCGTGCCGACAGGCCTAATCACAGTTTAACAATAGTTAGGGCAAGCGTTTAAAGTTAGACAGAAGAGAAGTAAAAATCAATTAGCAAATACGTTTCTTAACTGTCCCAGCACCTTCGCACCAAAGTTCTCTCAATTTTGGATAGGCAGCGGGGTCATTCACAAGAACCAAGAGTGAGCTCAGTCGTATAGAGAAGATGTTAGCAACCATTTGGACCCGTCACCGACTTACCTGGTGCACCTCGTTCCAGCCCTGGCTGTCCTGTATGCCCAGCGTGGCGTGGTCATGCAGCAGGCTCTCCGTAATCTTTGCGTCGCATTTACGTGTTATTGAAATGTAAAGGGGCGTTATGCCACGCCCGTCACGATAATTGGGCGAGGCGCCAAGCTCCAGGAGCGTGCTGCGAGAATTGAATATGGATTAGTATAAAATCAAATATAATTGAAGCAGATTTAAACTCCACTTATGGAAAACTTGTGGAGACCCACCTGACCGCCTCGAGCGAATCGTGTTCGACAGCTCGATGGAGCGCTGTGGTGCCATCCTTGGTGCGGTAGTCCAGCAGAGCACCGCCATTGACCAGAGCAATGAGCAGCTTGTTGGGCTTCTTGGCACCGGTGGCCACYGAGAGCGGCGTCTCGCCGCTTTCCGAGCAGTGAAAATTTGGATCCAGGCCCTTGGCACACATCTTGGCTATCTTCTCCACATGGCCCCCATTGATGCAGTCCAAGAAGCGACGCAGGTTGGCGCGCGTGTGCAGCGCCTTCAGCTGGCGCTCATCCAGTGTGAGCATTTTATACACGCGACGCTTGTACTTGAGCTGCAACGGACAGCAGAGAGAATAAGAGAAGTTGGGGTCAGTCAAGTCCACTATATACACGTATGCTTGATAGATGGTACTAACCTCAAGGTAGCCGACGGGTCCATTGAATGGATAGTCGCCCAAGCGCCGCTCCTCGTCCAGAAACTTGCCCGCTTTCCCATTCGAGGGTGGTGCAAAGAGGCCATAGTTGAAGCTCTCCTTCAGCTCCTGCAACAAGAAAAGGAAAGAATAGAGGATGAGTTATATTCCGTGACTCTGACAGCATTGAGTGCTGGCTTCTGCCTCGTCCATCAGGTGTGCCATTCACGTGCTCAAGTTGTTCATTTTTCACACGCACAACCTCTCACACACATACATTGCCACCCACACATGCACAGAAAAGACTTCCTGCTTGCGTTGGGTGAAGCGCCCGATGCGGGCGGATTCACAATGCTGCCGCTAATGAGCGCGTGACAACAGCGCCATCTAGCGATTGCCAATGCATCATACGGATGCACTGTCTGTTGTGAAAAATGGTATATGGGTTCTCAGCACACATAAATTACCATTAGAGACTTTATAAGGTAAGATAGATGCATCCGTTTATTATGGCCGTCATAAGTCCCATTTTAATTGGAAACAGAGAATGGCACAGTCGTTTATGCCCGTCTGGAAAAGTTCTCATTTGTCTACCGTTGCTTTAAGTGGCAATTTCTTCTTTTAATTATAAAAAAAAATGCTCCAGCACTAACAAGCAACAGAGCCAACTTCCGTAACGTTTTCCTATGCAGTCGAGGGCAACTCCTTCCCCACTCCGTCTACATACATATATACACATATGTATGTATGTATGCGCCCTGAAGTCTCAAGTGTATAACTGGTGACATTGCCAGTGCATTAATTATGCAAAGTGCGTGTTACGTGCACACATGTGTGCACCCAGAATTGGGTACGGATTAGAATTTGGGGATCTGTTACCCTTGCGGACAGCTCATAAATCCTAATGCGAGAAATGTGGCTATTAAATAGGACACACTCAGTGCTAGAAAGCCGTTTGTCAAAATTACATTAATATGAGAGTAGAAAAAAGTTTTCCATGTTCCTCAACTCTACTTGTTCGCTTCAAAGGGATACTTGAAGGCTTTTATGTTTTTCATGGATCTCTAAATGAGCAAAAGGCAAGATTGATGCTGAAAGCTACAAGTTTCTTAAATACATCATAATATCATACTAAATAATTTACTTCATATCTGTAGTTTTATATTATCTTTATTTGCAAGACAAGAAAATTACTGCATTTAATTCTTAGTAAATTTAATTATTAGTAAGTAAATCTGAAATACATTAGAATCCGGCTATAACGACTCCGCTTATAGCGTCCGTACGATATACTCCGAGAAAAACTATGCGCTTATAGATAATTCTCTCTCCGTTTTCAGCTAATGTTGGCCAATAAGCCTCTTCAACTATTTAGTACGTAAAGCTAGCCTCCCCACGTAACTCGGCAGCCGTAAGAGTTATTTCCGGCTTTCAACTGTTGTTATGGAACTACAAATCGCAAATGTGCAGCTCTGGCGCCACCCTCGGCTCTCGCGGCATAAACATAAATTTCCACCACACAAACTACGACGCCCCCAAATGACGGGCGCACCCTGATACTCCTGCTACTCCTGCTGCGACTCCCACGTCCCCGCTGCTCCCGCTGCACACGTTAACTTTCGTGCGCCAAATGGTTTTTACGGCCTCCCTTACTCTCGCCACTGCTTCTTCCCTCTTTTTAACCCCGGGCAACTCGCTCTTGGCTACCCCCGCAATGTGTGCAAATGCAAATTGCAGACACGTCTCGCCGCCCCAAGGCTAAAGAATCCGGCTTTCTATGGGATGGGGATAATGTGCGCTTCGACCTGGGGGAGGCTCGCTTTCTGGGCCTGCTTAAAGTCAACTTGTTGGCGCAAATTGCATTTTTATGAGTTTTGATTTCGATTCTCCAATCCAATCTGACTGCGGCTCTGGCTCTGGCTCTAGCCCTGGCCCTGGTTCTGGCCCTGGCAATGGCCCCCAGAGCGAGGCTAAAAACTAATTTAGAATTTCTGCTTATTTTGTAGCGCAGTTGCAGCCCGTAAATTCCATTTGCCTGCAACAAAATTGGGGCACATGATGTTGTATGCCGCATCTCTTTTTATATTTATTTCGCATTCGACGTATTTGGTGTTTTAGTGGAAGACCATAAATCAATGCAAATTGCCAAAAAACCAAAAGCTTTTCTTGCGGAAAACTGACCAAAAACAACGAACATTGAATACCCTGCAATGGAATATGTGGCACATTTATATTGCTCCTTGTCGGAGTAGAAGCGAAAAGCAGAGCAAGTGCGCATAGATTTTCCTCCAGCTGATTTCTTTTTCTCTTTTCTGCTCAAGAGTAAATGTCAATGCGATGCGCACTTGCAGCAAATAAGCGACTTCCTGTTCCAATAAGAAAAGGCAACGCACAATGGCAACGACAACAGCAACAACAACAGCAAAAGGCATTCATTGATAAATTGTCAAACAGTAGTTGTTGTCGAGGCTGTTGCAATTGTTTGCAAACACAGACAGTTAGATTGAAAGACGGACGGAGACGGACAGGCGGACAGACGTACGTACGTACGTACAGACAGTCCGGTCAGCAGGTAAACATAAACAGAAACACAAGCACACTGCCAGAAAAAAGTAAATAGCCAGCCAGTTGGCCAAGTCTCTAGCAATTGGGTCGCCACAATTGGCGGCCATCTGTTGCAGTTGCAGTTGCTGCTGTTGTTGTTGCTGCTGCTGCTGCAGTTGCTCGTAATCTCATTCTATTGCAGCAATTAGAGTCGCTGTTGCATTCGCCGTCTCGCGCCACTGCCTGTGTCTTGTGTCTTGTGGCAGGCTTTACATTTATGGTCTCATTAGTGTCAGCATTTGCGCTTTGTCTTAGTTTCTGTATTTTGTCTTTTTGGCAGTTGCCGCCACAGTTTGACAGCCACTGCTATGGCCAACCAACTTCAGTTTCATTTAGTCTGCTGTACAAACTCCCACTGCCAACAAAGGGTATCGAGTTACAAACGAAATCGACCAACGGCCGGAATTAACAAAATTATAACGGAAAAGATGTTGCCAGCACAGTGGGCAAGAAAGTATGCACACTAAGCAAACAAATTCTGTTTACTTGTTTAAAAAATTATTATATCATCATCAAGAATAGTATTTAAATGTTTTCAAGTTACTTTCATTTTCTTCAAAATTATTTTCTAAAAACATAAATATCTATCTCTCCTTTTATGCATGCCCCCGAATGCCTCCTCTCTCCTGCGTATATTCCCAGAAGAAATGTATTGGAAAAATATGACAAAGTATATTTACAAAATATTTTCATATTTTTAAACTCACAATAATAAATAAATATGTTTTTAAATTTTAATACTCTGTGATTATGCTTGTCTCTTATCTATAATAAAATATTATTTATTTTAAATTGAAGAAACTAGACTTCAATACGTTATCGTACAACCACTTTCAAGTGTATATATCCGTCTTTATTGCTATTGCTCTCCAAATAAACCCCAAAGAGCCGCTCTTATCTGATATCTCTGTGCCTTTTTCTTAATTTGCTTGCTTTCGCGAACATAATATTTGTTTATCAATTTCCGCTGCCAAAAGAATTTAACTGTGAACTTCCCCGCACATTGCACTTGTGCAAATTTCATAATAATGATAGTCGAGAAATATTCAAGCTGTCAATAAAGTAAAATAAATATGCGGGGCGAGAGCTAGCCAACTGGCTTCGAGCCACGAAGGTCAATTAAGATCTGTTGAAATATTGAATAGTAGAAAATGTTGAATATTTATTTTTATTTATGATGCGATCTTTTATGACTGCGATGGCAGGCAGCCATTATCTAATTATATAGTAGACTCTCTTCACACTGATTATCATAATTCTGTGCTGCAAAAGCCTTTTGATGGCCAACTGTCATTGGTTAACGCTAGCTTTGGTACTGGCTTTGGCATTGGCATTGGCATTGGCTAAGTCGAAGGCAAAGGCACAGAGCCGAGGGCGCATTTAACGCTTCGCTCTGCAATATTTTGCGTTTGTTGCAACGTCTCAAGTTGCAGCCCAAGCGGCATCAACATCAATTTATGTAATCTGAACAAGACACAGAACCGAACAGAAGAACCGAACCGAACGCCAGCCAGGGGGGAGCACATGCCAGGCACATCATCTTATAAATTTTGCTCGTTGCAAAGATGCCTGTGGTTAACCGCAAAGCAAAGACAGCAACGAGCAACGGGCAACCAGCCAGAGAACAAACAGCTCGGCGAGAGGAGAGGCTTGGGGGCATTGGAGGCACTTTGAATTAGAGTAGGATCTGTGGCCAAACAATGCGCTCGTCCAGCCAGAGCCACAGTCACAGAGCGTACGATCAGAGCTAAAGAGGAGCGAACGAGCTGCTTCACTCGTGACACGACTTGCACGAATGCGATGAGCTGCTAATATCAATATGAGAATTCGATTATGATGGGGATGATGATAATATTATAATATGATCTGCAAATTTCATACATATATAATATATACCAATACTACAACAGTCATATTCTATAATTGCTCAACTAGTTACTTATGATAATATTTTTGAATAGATTACTGAGAAGCTAAATGAAAAGTTATGGGGATAGTTAAGAAATAAAATAAATTAAATGCCTACAAAGTCTCATTTTTTCCAAGTGATCGCTCACAAATTCTTTACACGCCCATCTCTGACTGAATCGCTTAGGCAACTAGAGCTCCAGCCCCAACAGCATCCTCTCGTGCTGTGGCCTGGCCCGGTCTGGTCCTCCATGTTCAGTTGTGTCTGTCGCGCCATAAAAACTGGTTTCGTTTTCGGTTTCGGCGCTTTGGCTTTAATTGAGTTTTGTTTGGCTGTTTTCTTTGGCTGTTTGGTTGTTAGCTGAGCGCATTCTTGACCAGCTTTTTGGCCAAGTTCAATTGGATCTGTGGTTGCGGCTCTGAGGTGTGGGCGTGGCAGCTCAGTTGACACTCGGCATTGGGCGCGCTCGTGCAGGGCGAGCGAGCGAATTTGGTTGATTTTAATTTATGCGTACATTGGCCTCGCGATGCCTGACATTTCTTTCGCCTTGATTGCATTTTTGGCAGCAACAGCAACAGCCACAGCTACAGCTACGGTTTCTTTAGTTGATGCTGCA